GAGGTGATAACGATCTAGGTGGCAAAGTGAGCTTGCCAACTGACTGAGGTAGGAGGTGAGGGAGAGAGGACTTGCATGCCGACAGGCTTTCTATGTGCAGTTTCCGCTAACCTCAATCTGGGACACAGTGGGAGGAAGGGGCAGGCTGAAGGGGGAGTCTTTTGGGGGAAGGGGAGGAAGAGGTTGAGTTGGCTGAGAGGTAGATTGAGGGAGAGAACCTCTTAGGATGCCTGGTGTTAGGGAGGATCATGAGTGTGGAAGACGGGGCGGGCAGGCTCCCTGTGGGGACAAGTCACATTTAGAACTGCAGGGTGGGCCTAGTTATTGTGACTTGCCCTTAAGAGAAGGTGCTGAAGGCCTTCTTTCTGACTGGAGTCCCATGCAACTGACTCCTTTCCTCTGCTGAGGCATTGAGGAGACCTTGAGATCATCTGCGGGACTTTTCCAGAAGTCAGGCTTTGGTTCCAATCCTCCTAGTTTCCCATGGAACCTACTCAGCACCTTCAGGTCTAATCCTCAATTGTTTTCCAGTGCAGTTGTTTTGAATCCAAAGTTCATCTTGGAGGTCATTTCCTGACGTTTTACTCAGATGTTCCAGGTGGTTTCCCACAGGTAGGAAGACAATGACAACAGGAAAACAAGATTCCTTGCACTGGTTTGTCTTGATGAGAAAGTAGTGCTTTGCTCCCTTTGATATTTTAAGACTTCAAGAACAATCTAAGGCTTGTCTTTACAATAGAAGGGGCACAGGGCTATTTAACCGGGATGATGTCAGAGGTGTTTTCAGAAAAATTGACTCCTGCCTCGTCCAACCCCCCTCCATCTGCTGGAGGTCTGGATATGCTTTAAACTTCCCAAATAAAAGTTTTCCCAGGCATGTTGGTCTACAGGGACTAACATTCAAATATCCCTCTTCCAGGAAACAAAAGACTGAAACAAATGCCCTCCTCTCTGCTTCCTGAACACTTGAACAGGGCCTAGGTATGATGTATTTACTCAATCAGTGTTTTCTGAACTGCATTCAGCCCATCTTCATTATTCCTGCCAGATCCATATACCAACTGTATCTTTACTAGCTTATGATTCTTTAAAGAAAAAAATCTTTAACATCTCAATATAATATTAAAAGTTTTCATGAAATTTTATCAATATAAAACTGGTATTACCTGGAGATAAAGAAGGTAACTACTAGAAAACAAAAAAATACATAGCGCCATTCAATTCAGAGATGGGCGATGGCGTGCTCACAGCTCGAAGCCTGAAGTCTTGCAATCTCTTTCTTCCAGAGTGAGATTGGCAAGTGTTAAAGACACACCAGCACCAAACTAACACCTTCCTGCTATCATCAGGGAACTTGGAGAAAATTGGGAAGAGAATAATTCTCTCAGTCTACGGTTCTGAGTTAAGATCTGATTCTCTCTGCCACATAGATATACATAAGTCATTGTGGGTGCCAGTAGGTCCTCATCCACTTTGGGGAGCCCTAGTTCCATTACAGTCAGTCACTATTTTTTGTTTCCCCACTAAACAGTGAACTTGAAAGTGAGAGCTTATTCCCGGAGTCTCGGGTACTGCACACAATACTTGGACAAAGGGAGAATAACTAAAAACCTTCTGAGATCCAGAAGACTTAGGGCAAAATATTGACAGAGGGGTGTGTGGGAAGAAGAATGAAGGTAGGTTTGGAGTCTAAAGGTAGTCAAGTGAAGACATTCAAGAAAAGAAAAGCTACAGATTTTTAAGAAGAACTACACTGACACAATGTCACCAGATGAGGTGGATGAAAAAATGCAGTGACAATAGTTTATGCTTGAGAAGTTCACAATTCTAGGCCTGATCTAGACTCACCATTTACTAATTCCATGAACTTGGCCAAATCATTTTTCTGTTGGGCCTTAATTTTAATATTTTCCTGTAAAGTGCTGATAATACCTCCCCTACAAAGGCTTTTACCATGTTTTTAGGATGGAGGGAAGGACTGAGGAGCTGCAACAAAAGAAGACTTTGCTATCAGAAGATCTTATCCTTTCTCTCTCTCTCTCTCTCTCTCTCTCTCTCCCCTTTCTTTTTCTCTTTCCTGCTTTTTATTGTCAATAAATGTTTTGAGGTTATTCTTACTGTTCTTGCTATTTTGCTAGTAGACACAATCCCTAGTACACACCACAGTTGCTAGTACATTATAAGCATTCAATCGAGGTTTACTGCTTGAGAGCCTCCCTGGTGGCGCAGCGGTTGAGCGCTGGGCTGCGAAGCTGTCCGCGGCCTCTGAAGTGCTGGTTCGATCCCCGACCGCTGGGCGAGGGTCCCACCTGGGACCTCTCCTGCCGCCCACTGCTCCCCTCAGCAGTGTACTTCGGTCCTTCTGCCTGCTCTGCTCCCCGCTCTGGCTCTGGTGAATTCTCTCACCCTCCCCCGCTTCTTACTGTACCCAGTGCTTGTATAAATAAATAAATCTTTAAAAAAAACTACTGAAAAAAAAAATAGAGGTTTATTGCTTGAAAGAGTTATATTGACCTGTGATCTTTTCTGTAGGAGACTCTTCCTCCTCCAGTCTTCCTTGTCTACGTATATCACTACCATCCTGCCCAGATATTTAAATGCAAATTCTTCATCCCTTGATTTACTGAAGAGCTAGTAGGGCATAGACACTGTAAGGGGTGCTAGGATGGGAGGGAAGGGGGAGCTTGAGAAGCTGGACCCAGCCACAGGTCTCAAAGTGGTTAGACACAAGGAAGCAGCAATGTTTGTGATTTGTTCGACTTTCCACTAGTCATCTTTAGATGTTGTTCATTAGTGGGACATTTAGAGTATGTTTTTCACAACACCTGGATAAATATGTAGAAATTCTTATAATCCACAGCCAGCTGGATCGAGAAAAGGCCAGTGCCTCTGCGGGTGGCTCCCTGGGAACAGGGTATGTATATGCCATGCCTTGGAATTCTCTCCATGCATGAAAACTTGGAGGAATACTGCTTGTTTTCATTCCTACTAGGATTCTCCATTTTAGTCCAGTCTCTGCAGGTGAGATAAATGACCAGGAAGAAGAATGTTTTTATTTATTTTTAAAAATATTTTACCAATTTTTTTTAGCAATTTCTTTCTTTCTTTTTTAAAATTTATTTATTTATACAAGCACTGGGTAGAGTCAGAAGTGCGGGAGGGTGAGAGAATTCACCAGAGCCAGAGCGGGGAACAGAACAGGCAGACTGACAAAATACACTGCTGAGGGGAGAAGCGGGCATGGCAGGAGAGGTCTGTGTGCCATGTGGGACGCTTACCAGAGGCCAGGGATCGAACTGGCGCTGCAGAGGCTGTGGGCAGCTTCACAGCCCAGCGCTCAACAACCGTTGTGCTATCGGGGAGGCCCCCAGGAAGAAGAATTTAAAGGCACAAGGGAAATGACTTGTGGCCAAATCTTTTGGGAAGCCAACTCGCAGCAGAGAGAGCCAGTTTGTATCTGCAAGTGTGCATGGTAATTTACATGCCAATGTCTAAATACAAACAATGGTTTCAGAAACATTTTGCTACTCTTTGGCTTAATTGCCAGTCACTAGGCCCCCATTTTAGAGACTGTGTGTACATGTGGAGGTGCATGTGTGCAGGCAAGTGTGCTGGAGGGAAAACTTTGGTCCCAAAGCATGTTTGGACTTGTAAAAAGCATTTGGAATGTGTGTGTATAAAGGGAGTTTTAAGTTTTTTTTGACAAAGATTGTATTTGGAGGGGAAAGGATATTGTGTGTGTGTGTGTCTGTGTGTGTGTGTGTGTGTGTGTGTGTGCACGTGCGCTCATGCGCAGGCATGCACACAGTGCAAGTGGTGGACAAAATTATGTTAACAGCCATCCTCTTAGAGATCCAGTCAGTGTCATGAGATGTATTGTGGGAGGTGATTGTTTTCCTTTTAGACCAGCACATGGGGCCTTGAGGAACCCTTGACTTTCCCCTCCTCCTTGTCTTGTTAAAAAGGGATTAGAGTCCAATTAAGCCATTTAATCCCAAGGTAGAGATTCATGTTTAAAAACAAGATTTACAGCTTTAAAAAAAACAGTGGTGCAAGTTGAGGTTTGTCCTTTCAAGCTGCCACCCGCGTGGTTCCAAAGAGTGTTTCCAGTGGAATACCCAACATGCAGCTCTTCTTAATTACTTTGCCTCATACCTCCAGCCCTTCATCTGTTAAAGAGCCCTCCAACCTAAATAGGCACACACTGTTAGAAGTACTTCTGCTTCTGGATTGCCACAACCGCCCTTCTGCTGGCTTATTTCCCTTCAGTTGGCAACTGAGGACCAGGCTTAATAATTACAGTGTTATGAGCTAAAGCTGATTGGGTGTTTAGTATGTGCCAGGCGTTGCTCTAAGCACTTTACATAAAAGTATCCAATTTGATGCTCCCCATGAAAACAACCAGGGCTGGCATTCTGAGTGTGAGACTCATGTAGTCATACATGGCCCTGTGCTTAGAAGGGTCTGCACTTGTTTAATGCTCTGCTGTTATAGTCTAGAAATTCTTAATTATGCCTTTTCAGTTTTTACTGGGCCCTACAAATTACATAACCAGTCCTTAAAACACTCAATAGCCATTGTTTCTTTTTCTTCCTTTTCATGTGATGTCTAATTCAATGCTAGAGGATGGAACAGTGATTCTCAGTTTATGCAGCCAAAACCCTGTCTGGATAGTGAAATCATCGCCTTAGAGGGAGGTTCTCCAAGGCACCGGAACCATGTGGTAGCCCTTAGCATGAAAAAGCAAAGTGCTTGTGAGGACATGGCAAGTTGTTTAGCACCTCTGAGCCTCAGTTTTCTCATCTGTAAAATGGAGATAATAATAATACCTAACCCGCAGATTGTTTCAAAGATGAAATCATTCCAGATCGTGTGAATGCAGCTGATACATAGTACGTGTGCCGATAGTAATGCGTTACAGGTGCCCAGCAGGTCCTAAACATGGTGAGGGTCATTTGCCAAACTCCCAGGTGCCCTGGTCCAGGGGGTTTGTTTCCTACCTGCCCCAGAGAGCTGGGAGGAACGTCTGCTTTCTCCATGTGCTGGGTGATCACAGAGGGATTGCTGGAGCTGATGAGCACTGGGGTGCTGATCTCCACCATATGGCGCCCGGAGGGGGAATGGACCATCCTGTTGAGAGTATTCAAGGCTGTTGTGATGGAAAACTGCCCGGGCCCCTTCCTTCTGGACCCAGGGCCCCTTTGGAGCGTGGGTGTGTTGATCTCTTTGCCTCTGGAAGAAGAGGACACCAGGGACAGGCTTTTTGTCCGGGATGGCTGACGGCTTTTGTTCTTCTCCAGAAGGTGTCTGGCTGTGAGGTTTGGCTGAAAAGACAAAAGGCCCGGGGAGAAGTCAGTCAACCTTATCTACCACGAGCAGCTCAGACCCACTTAGGTTAGACTGAAGCCAACTCAGATGCCACTGTCCAGTTATTACCTCTTGGTGAGCTATCTTCACCAATATGTCCTGGCGACTCTGCTGTATCAGTGAAACAAAGTAGTTCCTGCTCTTTTACTGAGCTCCAAAGGGGCTGAAAATAAGCCTGCTTCCCTGATGGACTGGGAGCGCTCTTTACCCATCTCTTCCAACTCCACCCCAGCCCTTTCCGTGTGGTGGGCTCCCCTCTCCTTTAGTCAAATTCCCCTAAGCCCCCACTGGGTTGTCTGTTTGCCTCCTCAGTGTCCTGCAGTCCCAATGCTTCCCCGGCATGGCATTTTCCATTCCATACTGTAATCATTTCCTTTCCTCTGCTGAACAGTTAGCTACCTGAGGGCAGGGATCTCATACACATTACTCCCTGCTGTATACCCTGGTGAATGCTTAGAGAGTGTCTGTGGAATAATGAGTGGAGAAAGTTGCTCAAGTTCATACATTTGATAAGTGTTGGAGGAAGTACACAAATCCACTCAGATTTCTGAATCTTTAAGCTAAGAGCATCTTTTACAACTTCCTTTAAATGCATTCATTACCATTCTCTCTTGTTCTATACTTCTTATTCAGTGGTATTTTGTAAATCAGAAAAGAAAAGCCCTGATATATAGAGTTTTATCAACTTCTGTGATGCAAAAATCTTCTGATGGTTAACAGTTGGCTAGCAAAATTCCTGAAAATGTAATACTCGTGTCATCCAGTAGCAGCCGGCTACCCTTGCAGCCATGTCTGTGCAACCCATGTCTGCCTTCCTCACTATATTGGTGAATTCCAACAAGAGCTATATTTTGAATACCTTACCCACCAAGTGCCCCTTTGAGTTAATTTCCTTCAGAACTCTGAAGTATGTTGACAAAACAAGAATTGGTGTGAATAAAACTTTCCAGGATGATTACTTAATTTTCCATCATTACGATTGCTACCAACTACCTTCTAAACCACATTTTATTCTCATCTCTAGAGTCAACTACAGAGGTATAAAGGAATTTGCCCATTTAGGAACTTTTTAATGACAATGATTAAAAGAGCCAATATAGAAAATATTACAGAAGATTTAGTTCCTACCTCAAGAAGCTTATAATATTGTAAAGGAAAAAGTCAAGTAGAGGAGGGGACATTATTATGTTGACGATGACAACAAGAGAGTAGAAACCCAGAGCCTCCTTGGTGGTACAGGGGCTAAGTCTCAGCACTATAAAGTAATCGCCAGCCACTTCAGCCAGGGAGCTGACCCACATAGTGCAGCAGACCTCTCCTGTCTTGCCCGCTGCTCCCCTCAGCAGTGTATTTCAGTCGATCTGCCTGTTCTGCTCCCTACTCTGTCTCTGGTGAATCCTCTCACCCCTTCACCTCTGGCCTACAATCCAGTTCTTGTGTGCATAGATAAATAAAAATAAATCTTTTAAAAAAAGAGAGAGTAAAGCCCACATGGAGTAACTTATAAATGGCAATGAGAAAAAAATCAGAATAGTTAATAAGTGCTCTGATGTGACAAAGAGTGGGGGAAGTTGTTACTCTAGAATTGGGGGTTGAGGAAGTCCCACTGAGAAGGTGACATTGAAGCTGAGACACTGATGACAGGAAGAAGCCAGCTACATGAAGATGGGGGTGATGCCCAGCAGAGGGATTAATAAATTAATGGAAAGATCCCCAAGAGGGGAAAGATCACTCTGTTTGGAGAAAAAGACAAGAAGGAAACAGAGAGAGAGAGAGAGAGGACTGGAACGGAGTGAGCAAGTATCGGGGGTGAAGTGGAGATCAGAGGGAGAGGCAGAGGCTGGGCTATGAAGGACGTGGGGGCTTCAAGTTTATTCTGGGTGTAATGGAAAGCCTTTGGCAGGATTTAGGGAGAGGAGTGACATGATTTAAATTATGCTTTAAAAAGCTCATGCTACAATTTGGCAGTTTCTTCCAAAGTTAAATATATCCTTAGCATCTGACGTAGCAATCCCACTCCTAGGTAATTACCCAAGAGAAGGAAATTTATACTCACTCAAAAAATCGGTATGCAAATGTTTACAGCAGTTTTATTTCAGTTACAAAACAAGCACAATGTCTTTCAGCTGGTGAATGGATACGCATACTCTGGCACATCCTTACAATGGAACACGACTCAATGACAAGCAGGGACGATGCATTCATACTCTGGATGCACCTTGCATGCATTACGCTAAGTGAAAGAAACCAGACTCAAAACTACATTCTCTATGACTCCATTTCTAAGACAGTCTGCAAAAAGAAAACTACAGGAGCAGAAAGAAGATCAGTGGTTGCAGGGAGTGGGAGCCTGGGAAGGAATTGATACAAGGGGGCAGCATGTTGGGGGAGTGTCGGAACTATGCTATACCTGGGTTGTGGTGTGGTCACATTATATGCAGAGTAAATTGTACTGCATGTAAATAAAATAAAATAAAAACTCATTCTGGCTGTTATTTAGAAGTGCCAGAGTAGTAAGGACACCGATTGGGAGGTTACTGAAATTAGATGAGCTGTGATAGAGCCCTAACTAGGGACAGTGTCTGACATTCCCCAGAGTTCCTGTACCTCCATTGTTCTCCCCATAGGAAGACAATATACACGGTGAGCCGAGTGGGTAAAGTTCTTTTTTTTTTTTTTTTTTTTTTTTTTTTTTTTTTTTTTTTTTTTTTTATTTTTTAAATATTAAATTTTATTTTTATATTCCCCCATACAATTGCAAACGCCCCATTCTGACCCCAATCCTTCCCCTCCCGCCCCCCCACCCCCCAAAAAGTGTCTCTGGTTCATAGTTTTTTTGTTGATTTTGATTTTCACTTTCTTATATTCATTTTCCTGGTCCCTTATTTAAGTTTTCTAGATTCCTGCTATGAGTGAGACCATCCGGTATTTTTCTTTTTCTTTTTGGCTTATTTCGCTGAGCATGATCCCTTCCAGTGCCATCCATGTTGCTGCAAATTGCATGTGTTTATCTTTTTTGAATGCTGAGTAATATTCCATGGTATATATGTACCACATCTTCTTGATCCAGTCATCTATTTTTGGGCATTTGGGCTGTTTCCAAAGCTTAGCTATTGTAAACAGTGCTGCTATAAACATAGGAATGCAGGTGCTCTTTGGAATTGATGTTTCTGTGTCCTTTGGGTAAATACCTAGGAGTGGAATTGCTGGATCATATGGAAGCTCTATGTTTAGTAGGTCCAGAAATCTCCACACAGCTCTCCATAGTGGTTGGACCAGTTTGCACTCCCACCAACAGTGCACAAGAGTTCCTTTTTCTCCACATCCTCGCCAACATTTGTTGTTGCTAGTTTTTTTAATATGTGCCATTCTCACTGGTGTGAGATGGTATCTCATGGTAGTTTTGATTTGCATTTCCCTGATTACAAGTGATGTTGAACATTTTTTCATATATCTGTTGGCCATTTGCATTTCCTCTTCAGAGAAGTTTCTTTTTAGCTCTTCTGCCCATTTTTTGACTGGATTATTTTCTTTGTTGTTGCTGAGTCTCATCAGCTCTTTGCAGATTTTTGTGATCAGTCCTTTATCATTAGTGTTGGGTGCAAAAATGTTCTCCCAGTTGGTGGGGTTTCTCTTTGTTTTTGTTATTGTCTCTTTTGCTGTGCAGAAGCTCTTTAATTTGATGTAGTCCCAGCTGTTTATCTTTCTCTTCACTATCACTGCTTTGGGTGATGTGTCTGTAAAGATGTCTTTGATGTGCAAATCCCGTAGTGTTTCGCCTATATTTCCTTCTATGTATTTTATGGTTTCAGGTCTTATGTCTAGTTCTTTAATCCATTTTGAGTTGATTTTTGTGTATGGTGTGAGGTAGTGGTCAAGCTTCATTCTTTTGCATGTAGCGACCCAGTTTTCCCAGCACCATTTATTGAACAAACTTTCTTTGCTCCAATGCATAGTCTTTGCTCCTTTGTCAAAGATTAGTTGACCATAAATCTGTGGGTTTATTTCTGGATTTTCTATTCGATTCCATTGGTCTGTATGTCTGTTCTTGTTCCAATACCATGCAGTTTTGATGATTATGGCTTTGTAGTATAGTTTGAAGTCTGGGAGTGTGATGCCTCCATTTCCTTCTTTTTTTTTCAGTAGAGCTTTGGCTATTCGGGGTTTTTGGTGATTCCATATGAATTTCATCAATAATTGTTCTATTTCTTTGAAGAATGCCATTGAGATTTTGATTGGAATAGCATTGAATCTGTATATTGCTTTTGGTAGGATGGCCATTTTAATAATGTTTATTCTTCCAATCCATGAGCAGGGGATGTCTTTCCATTTCTTTGTGTCTTCTTCTATTTCTTTTAACAGTGTTTTATAGTTTTCTTTGTATAGGTCCTTTACCTCTTTTGTTAGATTTATTCCCAAATATTTGATTTTTTTTGTTTCGATAATAAAAGGGGTGGTTTTTTTGATTTCTTCTTCTTCAGATTTATTGTTTGTGTATAGGAAGGCCACTGACTTTTGCGTGTTGATTTTGTATCCTGCCACTTTACTGAATTGATTGATGAGTTGAATTAGTTTTTCTGTGGAGATTTTGGGGTTCTCTATGTATATTATCATATCATCTGCAAATAGTGATAGTTTGACTTCTTCTTTTCCTATTTGGATTCCTTGGATGTCTTTCTCTTGTCTTATTGCTCTGGCTAGGACTTCCAGTATTATATTGAAAAGCAGTGGTGAGAGTGGACATCCTTGTCTTGTTCCAGATCTTAATGGAATTGCTTTCAGCTTTTCACCATTGAGAATGATACTGGCTGTTGGCTTGTCATAGATGGCCTTTATGATGTTGAGGTATGTTCCTTGTATCCCAAGAATTTCAAGGGCTTTTATCATGAATGGGTGTTGCACTTTGTCGAAAGCTTTCTCAGCATCTATTGATATTATCATATGGTTTTTATATTTC